CTTATGTTAATTTTTTTTTTTTGGATCTACATATGTAGTTGGGTTTTACTGGGTTTCCCCAACTCTTGCAGCAAATGCTGGATCTAATGTAACCCCAAAATTTAAAAAAAAGGAAAGGAAAATTAAATGAAGAAATAAATTAAAAGTAAGGCACAAACTCATGTCAATAATCGAAATGATAATCAATGTAACTTTTGAGGCGGCGTGTTGAAAATTGCGTGCTTAAATATGCAAAATCACATGGATAATTATGCACGCATACATATATATTTTCTTAAATGTACATATGTGTATAAAAAGTAGACGCACATTCCAATGTGCTCCTTCTTTCTCGCCTGTTCGTTGTTCTTTTGCTCTCTCAATATTCTCGTTCACTTTTTTTCTGGCATCGAGAGCGTGCGGTTCATAAAATCTAAGTGTGCATTATTAATTGTTCATTGCGACTTGTCTGGTTAATACTTAATTGTATTACTTATTTATTAACAAAAACCATAAAAACAGAAAGCAAAGATGAAGCATTGAGTTCCGAAACAGAAAGGGAGGAATAAATCAAAAAGGAATGGTAAAACGCTGGTTTACATAGATGTACATACATACATATGTACATATGTGCAATTGTAAAAATTTCTGTGGTCTTTTATATTTATTTTTAATTTACTCTGATTTAATAGTATTTCTAATTATTATTAGTTTTTGATAGAAAAAGGCGCGAAAACTGAAACTCACTCACTCACTCCCAGTCGGAAAAAACACGCTTCCAGGATGCGTTCTTTTACGCTTCCTTTGCATGCGAAAAACGCATTCCAGATCCCTGAAAGCTTCCTTTCCTTTTTGTTCGAGACGGGACAAAAAGCAAGCCTTCTTTTAGAACCGATCTAAGAACGAGTCTTAATGCGTTCCATTGGAAGGTAGTTTCAACTTCGGAAACGCTCGGGTTTCCCTTCCATTTGTACTTTACGAAGGAAGCATTCTACAGCGCACTGTTGGAATGAACATAGAAACGTTCCTCGGGAACTCTCCTGGATAGCTTCCAAAGCAAGTATTGCGTAACACATCTAAAGAATGAATATTGATCCCTTCCACAAGAACACATTTAGTATGATTCCAAAACTAGCCTTCTAATTGTCTTACCCAAGAATGCAAATATTATCCTTCCCAAAAAAGCTATTGGGAACCGTTTCTTTTTTCAATTACAATTTTTATTTATTTAATTTTTTTTAATATATACATGCTTTAAAACTTATTATATTACTCCTGGCCGTTTTCGTCCTCTCTCATCTTTTTGGCCAAACTTTTAGCCTTGTAAGTCTTTATATGGTCGGTGAAGCGGTAACCGTCCCTTCTTTGTGACTCTGAAAATATAATAATGAGAAAATATAATATAAAATATAATAATGAGAAGGAAATATGTAATTTTATTAAAATATGATTGTAAGTTTGTAAAACACTTACCGAAAAATGTTTCATTTAAATGAATGTAGGACGCAAAACCTTCCCTGTCCCTAGTACCGCCATAATTAAGCTCCATTATCAAACTTGGACTTAATATCCTATTGAAGATCTAGATTTTCCGAATTCAAAAGTTTTTAAAAGTGCATCAATATGAACTCTAGTAACATTATTATTATGGTACCATTCTAATAATTTTTCACGGAGATTCATAGGTATCATACTCATAAGAATAGTTTGATGCACTTTTATCCGATTCGGGTTCACATAGGCATTCATTTCCAGAATTATTTTCTGTATCAAAAGTAAGAGCTCTAGCAGCCGATTGCTGAAGCTCTTCCTTTTGTTTTTTCGTTAAGCGATGAATATTTGACCGCGACATTCCCCTCATTTTAAATTATATTAGTTATGTTTGTTTTGTATAATATTTTTTTCAATTAAGTTATTAAATTTTTTTATTTATGTAATGTTTATTTATTTAAATTTATGTTTATTTTTCTTAAATTTTTGTTCACTTAATTTGTGTTCTTAGGTCCACCCTAATAAAACACAACTTTTATGTAGATGTAAGTCCACCCTAGGTAGAAGTAAAAGGAAGAGAGAAAAAAGAGAGCACACAAATAAACGAAACGAGTTCAAAAAACACAAAATTTAAATTTATGAAATATATAAAAATTACCTTTTGTTTTGAACTAGTTCTTCTGGAACTAAACGAAAATAATATTTAAAACGCATTAATTAAATTAACAGAATTTATGGATATGTATTTATTATTAAATAAAACTGAAGTCTTATTGCAGTGTACGCTCAAATAAATAATTATTTTTAGTTATTTGATTAACAGCCACACACAGTTTTAGGAACAATTTGTTTTGACCGTACACTGTATATAAGATTGTTAATAAGTGTTTATAAATTTAATGTTTTTTTGGCACAGGTACACATCACATATTGTTTTAATTAATCTAGTGTTTGGTTCATGTTATTTTATGAACAGTATTGGAACTCCTTTATAGTTTGTTTATATCAACACTATACTTACCTGAAAATTAAAACCGCAAAGAATATATAAATTTCACAATTCACAAATCAAATCAAACACCAGCTATTTCAATTGAAAATCAAAATGCAAGTGGCGAGAAATGCAAAAGAAACGAAAAAGGCCGCGCGCTTTCTTGCCTTTTCCCTTTTGTTCTTGTCGTTTGCTTTTTAGAGTACCGTTTTGTTCGGTTACTCCTTGTGTATACAGTGGCGGGGGAAACTATAGCGCCGGCAAATGTAAAATAATAATTCAAAACGCTTTAAAACGGAATCATGTAATCTTGTATATATTATTACCTAAAATTAAAATATATAAAAAACTGCGTCAAATTAATAATTTTCTAATACATTATAAAATATATTAAATATTATTATTAATAAAGTTAAATATTAATATTTTTACAGAATTAATTTTAGAAAAAGTTTAACAAGTCATATACCACCAACATAACAAAGCGTTCTGATATTGTTTATAAAGATAAAAAGTGTATATATTTACGTCGCTGCTGTTCATTAAGAAAAAAAAATTACATTTGTTTCCCATTTTTTTGTCCATTCCAAAACAAGACTTCTTTTTGCGTTCCTTGGTAAGCGAGATTTTCGGTGAAAAACACGATCTCAAAAATATCGGACGATCGGCATCGTTCGGGTTTCATTTTTTTTTTTACATTGCAAAAGAAGGCTTTTTTATGCATTGTAGTAGAAGGGACGATTTCACAAAAACTCTTTAGAATGCATAAAAAATGCTTCTTTATAGCTTCTTACATTCTTTTTCGCTTGCAAAGCATGTATGAAAGAAGCTTTTTTTATTGGAATGCGTTCTCTAACTTCCGACTGGGCTTGCTTGGCACAGGAATGTTTTGCATAGTTACATACATATGTGTGCGTGCGATCGTTTTACCGTTGCTTTTTTCTTTTCTTTTCCATTCCACTTTGTCTTGTTCGAAATTAGGGAAGGGGCACAGAAATACATGAACGAAAACGTCATTAATATTGCGTATTGTTTTCATGCAATATTACTTACCCTGCAAATGAGGCAGCACATAATGCATGACCATTTCTTCCACGCCTCCTTCAGCTTTTCAGGTGACTCTATGCATATCCATTTTGTTTTTATTTACGCAGACGCGGGTCCTTCTTTGCACTTCACAGTTGAAGCGACCCATTCACATAGGCACCCGCTGATGCAAAGACTGGTCTACTTCACAACAAAATTCAATTTTCCCGCCAACCAAATGAATATTGACGCAAATCTAAACACAGTTTTGACATTCGCAAGTGGAATGTTATTGCACCGTTTACTTCTGGTGGATTTCCCAAAAAATATGAGTGCTCTTTCGCGCTAATTGTAGGTCATCCATCTTTTTTCCGCGCAGGTCAAATGGAGGCAAATACCTTCCTATTCCTTCATATTATCGAATTGGTATTTTTTTATTTCGTTAAATGTATACCTTAGGGTCGCAAATTTGGCCAAAATGTATATCCATCTGAAAAAATAAAAAAAAACCAAGTAAAAATTATAAAATACTTTAAAAATGCTGAATCACAACCGAGTTAACAGTCTACTACTCGCAACAACGAATTGTAGCGCCTTTTTTATATCTTTCTAGCACATGTACCTCTTATGGAAAAAAAAACCGATGAAGCGGAATTTTGTCGCTGAAGCAAAAAGCCGTCTGTGTGAATAGGCTTTAAGGCAGCTCTGCGTTTAATTAGCAAAACAAAAATAAATATCGATAACACCGATGTGTATGCATAAACATAAAGGCGCGCCCGTTTAAAATTAACGTGTTATCGTAGACTGCTGGTGAAACAACGCTTAATATAGAGTTTAATGTTTTTAATAATTCTGGTATTTTTAGTAGACACGATAAGCAGAATTAAAGATATAAAATAAAACAAAAAAAGCCTTTTAAAATATTTTTATCAAGCACAATCCGTACTTAATCATGTACCCGTTCGTCCGTAAAATTGAAAGTATATTCGACCTATTTTCAGGTAAAATTATTCGTACCAAGTTTTTGTGGGTGTATGTTCGCTTCTGTCAGTCAGCAAGAGCGGGTCAATTAATTATGGACCTAACCGATAATCGTTCATAAATTAGATGTTGGTCATCCATTGTCTTAGAAAATCATGGTCCTTCGAGGATATTTTATAAGCGGGTGATGGCCCGCTTTTACCAGCTATTGCAATTATTTTGACAACGAATAAAAAGCAACTCGAATACAAGTCTACTTTGTTTTTATTTTATATGACCAGCAAGGCTCAACTCATTACGCAACTTTTAGCAATATCTATAATTACTTCTTTATGCGTTGCAAGGAGTTTGGGTTTATTTTAATATGCATCCCCTATCTTGTCATTAAAGATCTAAAAAACAGGTGTTCTCTTGGACGCAGCGTTCCTTTGGACGCAGCGTTCTCTTGGACACAGCGTTCTCTTTTAATTTATTTTTGCGACCCGCTCAAGTATAAATAGGAGCGTCCTCAGCTCGTCCGCCAACAGTTTTGTTTCGATGACGTGCGCGCGAAGTGGACGTGAACCGAGATTAGATTTACTGCTAAGCAACTGAGTGAGTGTGAACCCAATGAATAAGGGAACGACACTTTCGTTATAGAGCTATGACGCTAGATCAGAGCGTGAAATAGGTGTACGAATGCACACAGACCGTATGTTAACCCTGATGGATCAAGGTTTTGTATGCGTACGTGTAGCGCATAAGAAATATATTGAGCGACGCAGTTCAAAGCCTCAGTAAAGTACATATATACATAGGTGTCTAATACACACGCATATAGGCCGGCAGAAATTTGTTCATAGCTTGAAAATCTCTTTCCTCAAAAAACCAAAAGAATTTGAATTTTGAGCAATATCAGTTTCCACATTTTAAAACAACAACGAGGATCAGAAAACCATGCAGAGTTCAATGAACTTCCATAAGCAGCCAAACCCTGACTTGATTTTGTGCCAGCTCTTCCCAATCCCCCCGTTAATTATCTCAAAAGTTGTCCAACGTCTTTTTTGTATACTTCGCCTCTCCCTTAGGTTACATATCTTTAATAAAATTAAACCTTTGATACGTTTCGAAGTCGAACGCTGTTTGCAGTCTCAAGAAAAAAAAACAAAAATAGTTTCATATCAAAGCCGAAACCGGTTCGTACCGTAAGTTCTTAACTATAAATATATTTAAAAAAAAAAAGGAAAAAGATTTTGGCAACATAATATTTTTTTTGAGTGAAAAGAAAGGGGATAAGAGAGCATATAAACAATTAACAAGAAGTGATTAATATTTACGACAGTCTTAACTCAGGCATCGGTGCCGTTTTTTGGTATGTTTAATCTGTTTACATTTTTCTCAGGTCTGCTAAAAGTAGATTTTGTACTTTGTCGATTCAATCGAAAGTCTTTTAAGCCTGGAAGAATATTATTTATAACACAGGACAACAAATTAAAACTTTGTAAAAGATTCTGGTCTATACGTACAAAAAATGTTAGTAGAGACTTAACTAAGCTGATCTGTATAGTTAGTAATTGTTATATCGCGGCTTGATTAAAACAACAACCACTCCACTTCGTTGTGAAGCATTGCATTAATTAGCTTAGATTACATCTTTATACCATTCCAACGCAGTGAAGGAGACATTTCCGACCCAATAACATGTATATATTGTTGATCAGCATCACTAGGGGAGTCGATCTCGCCATGTCCGTTTGCGGGTCCGTCTGGGTCCGTTTCTACGAAAACTATTCTCTTAGTTTTAAAGCAACCTGAATAAAAATTTCAGTATTAGGAATTCAATTTTACGGGCTACTATATCATATAGCTCCTATTGGAAATATCATAAAAAGGAAGCAAACTTCGGAAAGTAGAAGTTTGTATATTTTTGCAGTTTTTTCAAAAAATATATATTCATGAAAACATATAAGTTTCGATTTATATGCGTATATGCTTAAAAACATTGAAGGTATAATCATTTTCAGCTCAATTATTCGTTCGTTCCTATGGCAGCTATAAGATATCGTAATCCGGTATGAATAAAATTAAAAGCGTAATTTTTAATTACACATCTACACAGCCAAACAATTCCACGAACCAATTGTTTTTTCCATCCGATGTTTGACGCCTTTTAAATTATGTAGCCCAAACAAATCCAGCCAAATTATTTTTTGCTAGAAAACACTCTCAATACATAACCCATGGCAATATATATATATAGCTCCCATGGGAAGAATAAAAAAAAATGTTAATTAAATTGTAACTTCTCAAACTTTTAATTTTTATACCCTTGCAGAGGGTATTATAATTTCAGTCAGAAGTTTGCAACGCAGTGAAGGAGACGTTTCCGACCCTATAAAGTATATATATTCTTGATCAGCATCACTAGTAGAGTCGATCTAGCCATGTCCGTCTGTCCGTCCGTCTGTCCGTCCGTTTATATGCAAACTAGTCTCTCAGTTTTAAAGCTACCTGCATGAAACTTTCCCAAAAGTTGTCTTTCTATTGCAGGTAGTATATAAGTCGGAATGAGCCGGATCGGACCACTATTGCATATAGCTCCCATAGGAACAATCGGAAAAATAATTGAAAAAAAATTATTGCACTTCAATTCACTTCTCATTTTGTGACAACTATTTTTTATTTTATCAAACAAAATTTATTTATTTTTATTTAATTTGTTTCGTAAGCGGCACATAGCAGTACAATGAAATCAGCCTTGTTACTTTACCATTTCAAAAAAACTTAAAGGTAAAAAATAGGTCGGAATCAGGCTGTTCGGACGACTATTTCATACAGCTCCCATTGGAAAAACGGAAAGAAATTTAAAAATTGGCTGTTTTTCAATTTTTTAGTTAATTCTTTTTAAATTTGATTAAATTCGGAGGAATATATCATATAGCTCCCAATCGGGGTTTAATAAAAAACCATAAAAAAATGTATAATATTAAAGTCCTTCAGCACCATGACCAGAAATTATTCTCAAATGACTTGTGTGTTACAAAACCGAAGAACAAAGTTCTGTCTTTTGATCACAAATTAATTATGTCTATAATAATTTTGCTTACATTCATTTTTCTTAAAATTTGAACACAAAAACATAATTTAAAACATATCAAGGAAACAGCCCTTAAAATACCTTTTAAACGATATGCTTAATACAGTAAAATTGGTTTCAGGACGAAAAATCGTTCACGTTTTAAAAATTCTGTATTTGTCTTGTTTATTGTATATCTATTAAACGGAGTTTTTTATTGAGATAATTGTGGTGTTGTTGGACGCGTATTTAAGGCGAGAACACAACCATGCCATAAAAGTAAGACTTTTTACTCCACTCCAATGACTTTCTAAAACTCTAAGTATGCACTATATATAACATTTTTTAAATATATCGGCAATACATAGTAGTCTCCTTGCGCACGATTACCAGTGCTCGTCGTCACTACATGTGCTTCCGTCCATATATACAAATGTTTTCCAAAATATAGAAATGTTTTCTAAAGTATGGAAATGTTTTCTAAAAATTCTATTCTTCTATTTAGGTATCAGTACTAAAACTTCAAACCCAGACCCAAAAATATAATTACCCCAAAAAAAAATGATTTACTAAGAATTGTAAAAATTTCCTAAATATTAGTAACGTTTGAATTGTGTTTTCTAATTCTTGTTATTGCTTGCTTGATCGCAACGGAAAATTCAATATCGTGGCCTAGAGGTTAAAGCGCATTACCAGAAATGTAAACTACGCAAGTTTATATCCCGATGCCGACATGAACATTTGTTTCTGAAATTTGTTTTTTATTGTTTTTTATACCCTTGCAGAGGGTATTATAATTTCAGTCAGAAGTTTGCAACGCAGTGAGGGAGACATCTCCGACCCTATAAAATATATATATTCTTGATCAGCATCACTAGGAGAGTCGATCTAGCCATGTCCGCCTGTCCGTCCGTCTGTCCGTCCGCTTCTACGCAAACTAGTCTCTCAGTTTTAAAGCTATCTGCATGAAACTTTCCCAAAAGTTGTCTTTCTATTGCAGGTAGTATATAAGTCGGAACGAGCCGGACGTCTATAGCATATAGCTCCCATAGGAACAATCGTATAGCTGCCATAGGAACTTTCGAATAATTAAGCTGCAAATCATCATAGCTTCAATTTTTTTAAACATACACGCAAGAAAATCATAATTTAAACGTTTTCAAGAGTATTTAGTTTTTGAAATAGCTGCAAGGGTATATAAACTTCGGCTTGCCGAAGTTTGCTTTCTTTCTTGTTTGCGTAAATTTAAGTTTGAACAAAAAATATATACTTTTTCTTGAAATATAATATATGTTTTTGTCATATGATATATAAAATAAAAGCAAACTTTGCAAGCCGAAATTTATATAGTTGAATGTTTATATTTTAATCAGTCGAACTAATGTCCCGTCAGTTGACTAAGGACAACGCCAAGAATTAGTTTTACGTCTTTATTCGATTGATCTCAGCTTAAGACTAAATTATTGTGTCAAAAATTATACTTGTGTTGCCCTTTGTTTACATAAGTTTGGGAACGAGATCCACCGATTGCCACTCTGGGAGCGGGACCTAGTCATTGCAAGAATTGTTTATGTTATTGAGGAGCAGCATCGCCTGCTCCGGATGTGGGTTGTTTACATTGGTTCAGCGTGGGATCGCCTACACTGCAGATTCTTATTTCTTGGTACATAACTGAATATGTGAATATGTCACTATATACCCTTGCAGCTATTGCAAAAATTACATTTTCATGAAAACATTAAAAATTTCGATTTATATGCCTATATGTTTGAAAATATTGAATCCATGATGATTTTCAGCTCAATATTCGATCGTTTGTATGAAATTGCAGCTGTATGAAATTGTTTATCGATTTGAAGAAAATTAAAAACGTAAATCAAAACTATCGAACTATTAATATGTCCAAAAATATTTTAAAATATAATTCAAAAATAGAGGTACATTTAAAAAAAAAAATTTTTAATATTCCGATTTTTTCTATGGGAGTAATATGTTAAAGTCGTCCGATTTCAACGAAGTTAAAGCCGTTATTCTGAAATATTAAATCATTACTATATCTCAAAGAATAAAAAACATAAATTAAAAACAGCTTAGTTAACATTTTTTTTATTTATTTTCCGATTGTTCCTATGGGAGCTATATGCTTTAGTCAAGCGATCCGGTCAACTTTTGTGAAAGTTTCATGCAGATAACTTTAAAACTGAGGTACTAGTTTGCGTAGAAACGGACGGACAGACGGTCGGACAGACGGTCGGACAGACGGAGGGACAGACGGTCGGACAGACGGAGGGACAGACGGTCGGACAGACGGAGGGACAGACGGACATGGCTATATCGACTCGCCTAGTGATGCTGATCAAGAATATATATACTTTATAGGGTCGGAAATGTCTCCTTACAGCGTTGCAAACTTCTGACTGAAATTATAATACCCTCTGCAAGGGTATAAATATTAAGTGGTTTAAGATTTATCAACTCTTAAAAATGCCATCTTTTGGTGCACTAGCTGCTTATTTTAGTAAAATAATCGGGCCCACAA